GCCCCAGACCTCCCTGCCTTCTCCCATGGGGGCTTCTCTCACAACTAGGGGGTCCCCGGGGCGGGAAATATGGTCAGGGGCCCCAGGGCCAGGGTGCGTGGGGAGGGGAGCGGTAGGTGCTGGGCCAGGCGGCCTGGCGCCCTCTTCTCTTCCTTCCTTCCAGCCCAAGGCTCCCTGCCTCCCCTTCTCCCCAGGCCCCCTCTCTGTCGCCCTCCCTGACACCCCCCTCCCTGCTGGGAGCATCCTGAGCCTGTGATGCCTGGCACTGGGGGAGGGGCAGAGACATGACTCAGCTTTGTTGACCCCAGACCTGCTGGGTTCCCGTCCCACAGAGAAGAATGGCCAGCTGAAGCCCGGACTGATGGCCAAGCTTTTCCCAGAAAATTTTTGTTTTTTTTAACAGTTTTTTAATCTTACTTTTTTTTTTTTAACAAGATATGATTCGTATGCCATTAAATCCACCCTTTTAATATGTACAAGTTAGGGGTTTTTAATATATTTACAAAGTTGCACAACTGTCACCCCTATCCAATTTCAGAGTGTTCTCATCATCTGAGAAAGAAACCTGGGACCTGTTAGCACTCACTCTCTCTTTCCCCTCCAACCCCTTCCCGGCTCTAGGCAACCACTTGTCTTTCTGTCACTATAGATTTGCTGATATGCTGGACATTTTGTATAAATAGATTCGTACAGTACGTGGCCTTCTGTGATTGGCTTCTTTCCCTCAGCATCATGTTTCTTTTTTTTAAATTTTTTATTGTTATGTTAATCATCATACATTACATCATTAGTTCTTGATGTAGTGTTCCATGATTCATTGTTTGTGCATAACACCCAGTGCTCCACACAGAACGTGCCCTCCTTAATACCCATCACCAGGCTAACCCATCCCCCCACCCCCTCCCCTCTAGAACCCTCAGTTTGTTTTTCAGAGTCCATCGTCTCTCATGGTTCGTCTCCCCCTCCGACTTACTCCCCTTCATTCTTCCCCTCCTGCTATCTTCTTCTTTTTCTTTTTTCTTAACAGATGTTGCATTATTTGTTTCAGAAGTACAGATCTGTGATTCAACAGTCTTGCACACTTCACAGCGCTCACCATAGCACATACCCTCCCCAATGTCTATCACCCAGCCACCCATCCCTCCCACCCCCAACCACTCCAGCAACCCTCCGTTTGTTTCCTGAGATTAAGAATTCCTCATACCAGTGAGGTCATAGGATACATGTCTTTCTCTGATTGACTTATTTCGCTCAGCATAACACCCTCCAGTTCCATCCACGTCGTTGCAAATGACAAGATCTCATTCCTTTTGATGGCTGCATAATATTCCATTGTGTATATATACCACCTCTTCTTTATCCATTCATCTGTCGATGGACATCTTGGCTCTTTCCACAGGTTGGCTATTGTGGACATTGCTGCTATAAACATCGGGGTGCACGTACCCCTTCGGATCCCTACATTTGTATCTTTGTGGTAAATACCCAGTAGTGCAATTTCAGCATCACGTTTCTGAGCTGTGTTGGTCCCTTATGGCTGAGCACCTTTCTACCACGTGGAGAGACCACACTTTGTTCATCCGCTCTTCCACTGATGGCCAATTGGGTTGTTTCCACTTTGTGGACAAAGCTGCTGTGAACATTCGTGGACAAGCTCTCACGTGGACAGACGTTTTTGTTTCTCTCGGGCACACGCCGGCGGGGGCAGGGGGTGGGGATTGCTGGGGCACACGCTCACCGAGGCTTAACCTTTTGAGAAACCGCAGACTGTTGTCCAAAGTGACTGCACAATTACTTTTCCTTTCTTCTTCTTTTAATTGTGCTAAAACATACATTGCATACAATTTACAATTTACAGAAAGGGATCATTTTTAGATGTACAGTTGAGTGTCATTAGCATTCGGAAGCTTTCTGGGGCCTGCCAGGCTCCTCCTCTGCCCTTGGGTCTGGAATCTGAAGATGAGGCCTCTGGAGACCAGCTGTTCTCTCAAGCACCGGGGCAGGATCCCCACTAGGTCCATGTTCCTCTTATTCTAGCACATTCCTTCTCCCTGTGTTCTGCTTCTTCCTCCTCCCCCTCTTCTTGCTACTTCAGTTTTGCTCCCTGGCATTTCCCTCCTCTCACTACCTGAATAAAAGTGTTTCTCCTGTCATCTTGTCATCTGTCTACACTGCCGAATAATCTGCTTCTGAGTTCCTGCCATGGACAGAGACCGTGTGGAGTAAGCTTTTGAGAAAGGGTAGGATGGTCAGGTGACAACAGCAGTTGAGGGGGTTTTGTGGGTAGAAGGTTCCCAGAGCCAAGAGTGACAGGGGCCTCCACTGCAGCAGTGAACACAGATGACAGGAATGTCACCGAAGATAGGAACCAGAAAGCATCAGGAGCCTGGGCCCCAGGCCAGGAGCTGTCTGGTCCGGGGCGGGCATGCCAACGAGCCAGGGGTGTCTCAGTGGGGACCAGCTGGCCGGGTCAGGCAACAGCCTCCAGGGCCTCCCACCCCCACTGGCCTTCCTGGGGTGTAACCTATGAATGGGCATAAATAAGAACTGGAACATTTTCCAGAAAAGAGTGTGGGGGCAGGAGTAAGGTGGGGAAGTGCCTCCAGACCGGAGAAACCCATGGGGTATGTGTGTTCACACCTCTGCTTTGATAGCTTGCCTACTTCTGTCAGTCTCTTTTCTAGAAAAGGGGGTTGTGGGGTGAGGCAGAGAGGGGATTCCTTCCCCAGGAGGAAGTCTGGGCCACTGACCCAGCCCTAGGGGAGGGCAGGCCGTGGCAAGATGGTAATTGAGGGCAGAGATTCGGGTCCAGCTCAGCTTGTGAGCAGAGAGAAATGGCAGACCAGAGTTCAGACACTGGAAATCCTGTGGTTCCCTCAAGAACAGCCTACACACACAGGCTCAGCCAGGTGAGTCAGAAAGGACCTAAGTTCTGGCAAAGGGACCTTCATACAAAGACTAAAAGCCATGGAACCACATTCTTGATTCAAGAATAGCGGCAGGATATGGTGAAAATCTCTCAGATGGAGAAGGGGTGAAGGCAGAGCTGGTTAAGGCAGTTAAGCTGACGCTTCTTTGCATTTTGTTTCTAGGCTCAGTGATTTAGTGTCTCTTTATCCTCTCAGCCCAGATAAATATTCTCTTTTGACTTTCTTGTGTAAAAAAATTTGAACCTTGATGGGTAGAGATGCTCTCATCTTGCCTCCCCCCGCCCCACCAAGCAAATGCTGGGGGAGGAGCCAAGGATGATGCTTCTCTTGGCGGTTCCAGCTCTGCTTCTCCACTTGCAAGGACGGGGAGAGGGGGGCCTGTGCCCCCAGGCTGAGGTCTGCCTGAGGGACTCTGCTACTGTGGCTCACCAGCTAACCGATGAGGGTGTGATGGGGCTCCCCAGTGGGGTCAGAGGGGACAATCTGAGCCACCCCAAAGGAGTGGGTGCACAGGGAACTCTCAGGAAAAGCCCTGAGGCAGCCTTGTTGGAAGGCCTTCCTGGGAACACACCCTTCCAGCCACAAGAAAGAGAGCAACCAGACCCTGAGGAGTGTAGCCCAAAGGGTCAGAGTAGCAAAGTTGTAGGGAGAACCTGATGAGGGGGAAAGAACTCTGGTGATGTGGGTCCTGCGGGGACTGTTGGACCTACAGACCCCACTGAAAGGACCTCGACCACCACACACACACACACACACACACACACACACACACACACACACTATCCATGTGAGCTGGCCTCTTAGTGGCACATGCTTCGTGTCCCCACTCCAAAATGTGGCCCATGGCCAATCGTTGGCCATTGTTGCTCTACTCAGGCTCTGCAGGCAGGTATCTGCAGCTTCTGTAGAATTCTTCTTCCTCCCCACATCTGGACTCTGTGAAGGGAAATCAATTATAAGGCTTTTATCCTAGATACCTGCCTATGGCATGTTCCTCATACTCCTTGACCTTATGTCTGTGGGCCAGAATATGATGGGGGGACTCCCCCCTTTCTTAAGGCCCCTCAAGGAGAGTGACGTCTCAGCCTTTCCTGCTTCTCGCATTGAAATGGAGCCAGTGTGGTGGAGACTATGATGGTGAGCTAATTTCTTTTTTTTTAAGATTTTTATTTATTTATTTGACAGAGAGAGACACAGCGAGAGAGGGAACACAAGCAGGGGGAGTGGGAGAGGGAGAAGCAGGCTTCCTGCTGAGCAGAGACCCCGACGCGGGGCTCGATCCCAGGACCCTGAGATCATAACCTGAATCGAAGGCAGACGCTTAACGACTGAGCCACCCAGGCGCCCCATGTGAGCTAATTTCTATCTGTTGCCTCACAACAACCTTGAGAAGCAGATATTATTATCATTCCCATTTTACAGATGAGAAAACTAAGATTCAGAGGAATTAGGTACCTTGCCCCAAGTCATCTGGCTAGTAAGCAGGAGGCTGGGCTTGAACCCAAGTCTTTGTGGAATTATATCCGACTGCTTTCTCCTATCCACTGCTCTTCCTCACTGCCTGGCAGGCCTGATTAAAGAATTCAACAAGGTGATGCTTGAGAAGCATTGTTGGACTTGACACTTGATCCATGGTAAGTGACCCTCTAAGAGCAAAATCAACACGCAATGGACCAGAGCGGAAATATGCACAGTTGCCTTAAAGCAAAGGCTCTCGACCTTGACGGCGTATTAAATCATTGGTGGAACTTGTAAAACTCCACATGCCTAGGCTGTACCTCAGACCAATCACATCAGAATCTCTGGGGGTGAGGCTCAGATATTCGCAGCTTTTAAATTTCCCCCTGGTGATTCTAACATGTATCCAAGGTTGAGAAAACCCTGAGACAGCAGTTTAGTTCCAAGCTGACCAGAGGAGGCTTAATATATAAAGATCTACAAAGAATGTGTCTAAGATATAGAAGTAATGTTCATCAGAAGGCACAGAAAAGGGGCCCTACAGAGCCTGTCCCCGCAGGACAATCTGACCATATCTAGAACAGAGGACCCGGCCCAAGGCTGGGCATGTCTAGCCCTGGAGGCACATTAGATGCTTGGATGGAGGCACGAGACATTGTCAAACCTAGCTCATGACCAACTGCTGATTCTGATTCACAGCTTCTTGGGCCAGCTTCCCACCACACCTTGGTCATGGGAAGAAAATGGGCAAGTCAGTTATGTCTCTTGTGTAAATGAATTAATTGGTATTCTGATAAAAAATTGCTTTGGCTTTGACAGTTACTGTAAATGAAGATTAGCCTGCAGGTGTTACTTTGATAAATTTAGATCTTCCCTGAAAGATGATCTCCCTTGGTGATCTGATGAATCTGGTTTCTGATTTATGTCCCTCCCCTGGACTGTGGTGAATTCACCAAGAAACCATCATGGGGTGTCCTGGAGACATCAGCCAGGCTCTCCTGTCTCAACCCACCCAGCCTTGCCTGGATCTCACATCTAACTTCCAGAGCAGAAACTCACTGTAAGCAAATCCTCACCTTCCCTCCCTTCTCTTCCTATAGTTTTTCCTCGGCCAACTGATCCTTATAAATCTTCAGAGCTCCTTGGGGGCGCCTGGGTGGCTCAGTCGGTTAAGCATCCGACTCTTGTTTTCGGCTCAGGTCATGATCTCAGGGTCATGAGATCGAACCCCACATCAGGCTCTGCACTGGGTGAAATCTTAAGCCTGCTTAAGATTCTCCCTCTCCCTCTGCCCCTCCAACCCGGCTCGCACGCACCTGCTCTTTCTCCAAAAAAATAAAAGTAAATAAATCTTCAGAGCTCCTTACTAGAGAGTAAACATATGAGATCACTCACAAACTGGTTTCAGCAGCCCCTGCCATCCTGATGTCCCACACTCCAGATGCCCCAACCATGTGTCTTTCCCCAGTCCATTCCCAACCACTCACGCCTCTGCACTCCCCTCCTTCCTTCCTCTGGTTCCTTCCTCCTCCCCCTTCCTCCCTCCTTCCTCCATTTACTCATCCTCAAATAGCAACCCCTGAGCAAACCTAGTTGCTTTGTTCTCCCTGTTCCCTTGGTACTTTGGACAGAGCCCTACAAAAGAGGTTCATTCACTGATTCCTAGTTCATTATCTCCACGTATCCTCCCTTCACTCCCCATCTGAGAGACTGAGCTCTCAGGGGCAAAACTCATGTCCTGTTGGCCTCACTGGCCTGGTGCCTAGCGTGGTGTCATGTCCATTATGGGTGCTTAAATACATTTTTGTTGAAATCTGAAAAAACAATAACTATTGTTATATTCAAGTAATTCTCAGTTTTGTAAAAAGCCATTTCATATCCGGTTTTTCCTTTTTGACTCCCTCAAAAAGGAAGATCTAAGAAAGCCCAAAGATTCCAAGTGAAAAACCACCCTGGCTGTACAGGTTAAGCCAGGACATGGGGCCAAAGGGCGACACTGACACGCTGAGCCTGAGCATTCCCTCTCCAGATGAGACCTGCACTGCTGGAACCATTACCCAACAAAGGTCACAGGAAGGCGGGGGAGACGGCACAGAAGGTTTCTGAGTAGGTGGACACTGGCAGATCTGTAAATCGGTTCCCCACGCTGGGCTTTTCTTGAAACAGGGAAGGCCCAGAGCCTGGGATAGACCCAAAGAAGCATGGGGTGGGAGGGTTAGAGGCAGAAGCTGAGCTGTGGACCCCCAAATGCTAAAGAATTTGGCATGCATGTGGGAAATGGTGTTTGTGAGGCAACATCCTCGATGAGTTCACTCATTCCACAACATGGTATAGTGTTCATGGTGTGGCTTCTAGAACCAGATTGCTGACATTTGGATGTGGCAAATGTCACCCCTGGGCAACTTACTTAACTTCTCTGTAGCTCATTTTCCACACCTGTAAAATGGGGACAGTAATAAAATGTCTACCTTGAAATTTTTATGAGGATTCAATGAGTTAATCCATGTAATTTTCCAAAACCAGTTCTTGACATACGGTAAATGCTCAATGAATACCAGCTAGTATTTAATAGTTTATTAACCAGCAACTGCTGGGTATTTCTGTTACTGCATAACAAACCACCCTGAAATTTAATAACTTAAAACAACAAACTGGGGGCGCCTGGGTGGCTCAGTCGTTAAGCGTCTGCCTTCGGCTCAGGTCATGATCCCCCGGTCCTGGGATCAAGCCCCGCATTGTGCTCCCTGCTCTGCGGGAAGCCTGCTTCTCCCTCTCCTTCTCCCCCTGCTTGTGTTCCCTCTCTCTCTGTGTCTCTCTGTGTCAAATAAATAAATAAAATCTTTAAAAAAAAACTGTTTTATTTGTTCTTTATTCCATAGGTCAGCTATCTGGGCTGGGCTCAGATGGGAACTTCTTCTGCTAGAGTCAGCTGGGATCACTCACACAGCCACAGATCTCTGGCAGATGGACTGGAGCTGGATGGTCTAATTTGGTGTCACTCACATGTCTGGTGGCTGGGGCTGGCTGTCAGTTCACATGTTACAGCAGTGAGTCTCAGCAGACCAGCCTTGACTTTTCCCCTTTGGGGCCCAGGATTCCAATTGCAGCCCCAAACGGATACACCTGCTTTCCAAGCCTCTGCTTGCGTCACATTTGCTAACGTCCCACTGGCCAAGGCACAAGATCAAGCCCAGATTCAAAGGATGGAGATGTAAACTTCACATGTTGATAGGAAGACAAGCAGAGTCATAATGCAAAAGGACAGGTGGCCGTGATGAGAAGAACTGTCACAGCCATTTACACAGGCCACCATGCTGGTACTAGACATACACATAGAACCTGGTTCTGAAGGCTGGAAGGGAAGTTTCCATGGCCCTCAGGGCCCAGGGTAGCAGGGAAAGTTTTGAGACATAAGCAAAGTAACTGTAATGCAAGGTTTGAACATGAGAAGTGCCCCCAAGATAGGAACAGTGAAGTGCTAGGGGAGTTCAGGTCAGTGTGATCCTTTACAGCTGAGCAAGGGTGAGCATTAGTGGGTTGGGAAGACTTTATTACTTTGCCCTTGAACATGGTTAGAATCTGGACACATGGGGATAGGGAAAATTGTATTCCAGGTGGAGGGAAGAGCAAATTTAGGAAAACCAAGATGCATCTGGGAAATCCAAACCCATCTAGTATAAAACTAGAGTGAGGGGGTCCATGAAGGAGAGATTGGAAACATGAGACTGGAAAGCTAACCTGGGGTCTGATTGTGAGTAAGCTTGAATTTGAACTTCACTCTGGAGGCAATGGGGAGCCACTGGATATTTTCCAGGTGACAAGTGAGAAGAAATGTATTGTAAGAAGGCTCTTTTGCCAGTAGTATATTGGATGCCTTGGGCTGGCAGCAAGAAGGGGAGTAGGAGATAATTAGGTAAGGGAGTGACCAGCAGGTCCAAGCAGAGAGATTGACAAGGAGAAGCAAGAGTAGAAAATATACGGTCAGAACCCAATGAGGCGGCGTCAAGGATGACTCAAAGGTTGCCAGGCTCAGTGCCTGGAGGATGGCAGAAGAAGAGAGGTGTATGCAAAGCAAGGAAGTCCACAGGAGGAACAGGTCTGGAAGGAACTCGTGGATTTGGGGAATGTGTGGGACATCCAAGTGGTGTCCAAGCAGAGTCCAACATCATGCTGTGGGGGGAGGGAGAGGAGAGCTTGCTGGAGCACAAAGAGGGTGAACGCTTCAGGACAGCTATCAGAAATGTCAGATGTGGCCAAAAGGTCAAGGAAGAAGAAGGATGAGAAAAGACCAACCAGCAGAGCTGACCGTGAGAAGGTCATGGTGACTCCCCAGTAGAGCAGAGACTGAGGTTGCACAGGGCTGAGAAGGGAGCAGCAGGCTTCCTGCCTTCTGGAATTCAAGGTTGGAGAGATCCCCTTGACTTCCGGGACTCCAGTGTCACCCTCCTTCCACTTCAGCCCTACTAAAGTGAAGGAAATCTTTAAGATCCTAAAAATAGAGCGAACACTGTCTTTCCCTGTCATCCTAGAGGAGGGAGGCACGCAAGACTCTCCCTGCCTTTCTCCCTCTGTCTCCTGCCTACTGGCTGGAGATCGGGCACTGTCAGGACTCGTGTCCAGGGAGACAGGCGTTGGCGGGACAGACGGCTGTTTACTTCCTAGCAGAGCCCTGCCGTGTTTTCATAGCTCAGAATAGTTCCTTGGCCCTCTGCAGGCCTGGGGGGCGGGGAAACCTCACTGTTTGTTTTCTGGACAATTCTAGGCCTCACCTCTTCCTCTTTCTCTGCATTGTGGTCCTCATTTGGGAATTCTCAGAGGGGGTAAGGTGTGGGCTCAGAGGGTCCAAGACTACTGATTTCCTAATTATCTCCCCCCAGGCCGGGCTCCGGAAGAGGGAAGGGCTAATAACTGGCTGTACAGCATGGTGTTTTGGTTGGGACGAAAACGCTGCGCCCATTAAAGAAAGAGTTGATTAAAAGACTGCAGGGCAGAGCTGTGGGAGAAAGAGAGGGGGAGGGGACAGCTCCCTCCTCCAATCTAGGTCTGGGCTGGCTGCCAGCTTTGGTGGGGGGAGCTCCCCTCCACTGGAGACCCGTGGGGGGCTTCCTGGCCCCCCTGGCCCCTGGCAGCTCTGGGCTGCATGCTGGCCCCGCCAGTGTCTGGAAGGTGCCCAGAGGTCGGAGGAGGAACTGGCTTCACTGAATACTCCTTTGAACTCTGAATTCTTAAAAAACTATGTGACTATGTTGCCTTTTTTTTTTTTTAGGTAATCTCTGCACCCCAACGTAGGGTTCAAACCCACCCCCAAGATCAAGAGTCGCCCCCTCCCCCAACTGAGCCAGCCAGGTGCCCTGTGACTATAGGACTTTTGAAAGTATTTTAATGAAAAAGATATGAATACATTTATCTTTTCCTTCGTGCAATCATGGATCATTGACTTCTGTTAGATCATGAAAAGCCAGGCACCACCTCACTGGAGCTACTTTGAAAGGAGCACCGAAGACTCAGGAAGGTTAACTCAGAACAGAGGGTGACAGTCGCCAAGTCTTATTTAACTGTTGACAAAAAGTCAAACCCAGTCAACTGTAGTGACTCAGCCAAGGTCACGTAGCTCTTTAATATTCCCTTGTAATATTTTCTTTTCCTTTTAAATCCTAGTGATAGCGGTAGGGGAGGGGTGGTCTCCGGGGCTGCCCACTGGAGGCCTGAGAGTGTTTCCGAGAATCTTCTAAGGAAAACGAAGACCCTCCTTCTGCCCCACAGCCACCAATACCCCACAGCCCCCACCTCACTCCATCTCCCACCCGACTGAGCTCTGGCTGCTGTAGGACTTAGTTTCCCTTCCCTTCTTCTCTCCTTGGTCCCGATTCTTTCAAAGAATTTCGAAGAATACGTGAGTTGAAGCAAGGAGGAGGTGGGGCAGCACCTGGGTGGCTCAGTTGGTTGAGCGGTTGTGCCTCGGCCTTTGGCTCAGGTCATGGTCCCAGGGTCCTGGGATCGAGCCCCGCATCAGGCACCCTGCTCATTGGGGAGCCTGCTTCTCCCTCTCCCTCTGCTGCTCCCCCTGCTTGTGCTCTCTCTCTGTCAAATAAATAAATAAAATCTTTTTTAAAAATTTAAAAAAAAAGAAGAAGCAAGGAGGGGATGGCAGTTTGGGACTGGATCCTTAGCTTGAGTCACATTTCCCGTCTCACCTCAGACACCCCCTCTTTGCCTCTGGGGTACAGACCAGAACAAAGGGGAAAATGAGCTTTTTGCAAATAGTTCCAACCACTGTTTTGGAGACTTACTTCCCTTGCCTCTGCCTCTGCAGTTCACCATCAACAAAGTTTAACTCCTGGCAGGAAGGATCAAATCTGACAGCAAGAATATGTCCTGAGGGCTCGGGTGATCTGGCACTGCCAAAGGGTTGATGAAGAGCGGGAGAAGTGTCTACCATCTGGTGGGGAGGGGGCTGGTTGACCATATGTGGAAACAGGGTATTCTCTGGAGGGAACAACAGCTTCTTTGGGGAGGATGGTTAAGGAAGATGGGGGGAAGGCAAAGGATAGTCCAACCATGCTTCCTGAAAAAGTTCTCCTGATCCACCTGATGCTGGTAGAAGGCAGACCCTGGGGTGGCAGGAGGAAGGTAGTGAGTGGGGAGTTCTTCACTGTTGACGATGAAGCAAATGCCCTCCGGGATTTTTCTGTGGACAAAATGTCCAGCCCATCCTGAGACATGAACCATGCTCCCCCAACCTGGTCAATAGATGCACAGTTCAAGGTCCCAAAGCTGAACTTTCTCACCACGCCAGAGATAAGTCAGCCATTTTCACTGGCTAACAATGATTAACCCACCTCTTTCCCCAACATGTTTTCATAAAAAAGAACTGGGTCACTCATTGAAAGGGTGACAGTCGTCAATCCAGCCAGTGTCTACTGTCTACCCCTAAACATCTTACCCCCACTGATCACTTCATAGGAAAACAAAACACACACACACCCCAAAATAAAGAAATTAAAAAAAAAAACTGGATCTTGTACAGTTTGAGCTATCATCCTTCAGAGAAGTCTACTCTGCTCAAAGCTCTGGATCGAAGCTGGGTTTTGCATCCCTGCTTCCATGTGCAGACAAGACCCCATCTAGTGATGACAGCTGAGCGAGGTAAAGGCAGCTCCTTCCTCAACAGAACGCAGAGCCCCAACCAGAATAGAGGACATGGCTGCAGGTGAAGTCAGAATTTCTTTTTTGGTAAGAAATACAGTTTTTGGGGCGCCTGGGTGGCTCAGTTGGTTAAGCAACTGCCTTTGGCTCAGGTCATAATCCTGGAGTCCCGGGATCGAGTCCCGCATCGGGCTCCTTGCTCAGCAGGGAGTCTGCTTCTCCCTCTGACCCTCCCCCCTCTCATGTACTCTCTCTCTCTCTCTCTCTCTCTCATTCTCACTCTCTCAAAATAAATAAATAAACCTTTAAAAAAAAGAAATACAGTTTTTGGATGAGGTGTGTGGCAAATTCTGGCTCCTTTTCCTCTTCACTTTCCTGTCAGCAAATAAACTTGTTTGAGTGAGTGAGTCAAACTTGTTCTTAGAGAAGGATGTGCCAGGACACTGGAACCAGCTGTGCTTACTTAATAACAGACCAGACTGTACTTTCTGGCCCCTTTCCTTCATGTTCTTCCCAAACCAAGATCCCCAGGCCTCTGAGTTTCTGTTTGTGGAGAAAATGCCTGAGAAGTGCCCGGCTAGTGTACCTGTCAAAAAAAAAGGGGCCTCTATAATTTTCCATCTTCATTGCTTCCCAGACTCAGCTGGTCATTTCCCCAGAGGACGTTAGTAAGTCTTGAGTCATCTCCACTGAGTACAAAATAATAAGGAACTCATTTATATTTGTACAAATGGATTCAGCTTTAATTTAAGGGTCCTCCAGTTGACATGGCTGTTAAAGGCCTGGCCTCTCCCCCACCACATTGTCGAGGTCCCTGAGAACATGGGGATTTAACTTTGAACCCTCAGAGAGCCAGGCAAGGCGCTTTGCTCAGGAAACATTTGTTGAGTTAAACTGGAGAACTTCTTGCAGGGGAAGCTGACAGGATTTGGGGGAAATGATGGAACCCTGCCTCTGGGAGACAGGTCTCTAACTGAACGGATTCTCACCCAAATCTCTAGCAACGCACACGCTTTGTCCACGGTATTCACCTCAAATATCCACAAGTCCGTTGAGGATCTGAGAACTCTACAATTTCTCTCTTCAGTCAGCTTTCTAGAGAGTCAGGTCCTTTGGGGCCTCATTCTTTTCTGCACACGATAAAAATTTGCTGGAGGCAGCAGGAAGGAGCTGGAGGGTGGAAAGGTAAAGACTAGTAAATGGTCTCATGATGTACACAATTGCTCTGACCAAGAGCGTCCCCATCCCTGGAGGGCAGCCTGCCAGAAGGCTGCCCAGGATGTCCAGAATGAGTTATCAGCCCCATCATGACTCTTTATCAACACGAGCCTTCTCCCTGTGATTCTTCCAGAAGATAGGGCTCTCCACTGGCTTCCCATCTGCTGAGGCACATGATGGAACCCCACCTGAGTCAGACACTGTGGCTCCTAACAGCCCTGTGGAGACCCAGACAGTGGCCTTTGAATATTTTGTCAGAAAACCTGCCCTATTCACCCTCGACTTACCTCAGACCATAAAAACTCCAGTCCCCAGGGATCACCACAATAGTTCCTCAATACTTTTGAGGAGAGCTTATCTAGTAGATGGAAGTGGCCATCTTTTCTGATGGGGCTTACTACCCGTGGCCTCGCAGTCCTGACAATGCAGAACGCCCCTGCTCCACAACATTGCCAACCACGAGCCTCACCCCACAGCCGCCATCACCACCATTAGCTGCTCTCTAGGCTAGAGGTGGCAGGATGGGGTTGCTTGGACCAGCAGAGACAATGTGGTCAAGGGCAACTGGAGTCCGCGTGAGCTGGGTGGGAGCCCGGGGGTTGGGGGGGAACTCCAGATCATACCCCCTGGATGACATTGTAATCATTTCCAGCATGGAATGTTGTCAACCTTTACTACCCACTCATTAGCTCTGAGTTTCTTTTCCTTGTCCCCAATCTACCCCTTACAAGGCAATCTGCACTTACTGATGGGAAATCCAAGCAAGTTTTGAAAAGCTTTATTCTAACTAATCTTTGAAGATTAGCTCTAATCTTTGAAAATGTCAGTTGGTCACCTGATTCGCGCCCTGCTCCCTTCAGAGGTCTAGGTGACCCAGTGTGTGAGGTTTTGGTCTATGCGCCTGCTACGGGATGATTTCTGCTTGTGCAGGTAAGCAAACAGCATTGTTTCTCATAACTTGGTGTCTGTTACTTTTATTTACTCTTTGTCTATATCCAGGGCTATAATAAAATTGTATTGACTAATCTCCAAGTACAAATGAAAGAAAGAAAATACAGAACCCCCTCAAGAAGATGCAGATTAAAACCATAATAAAATATCACCTTACACGGGCACCTGGCTGGCTCAGTAAGAGGAGCGTTGACTCTTGATCTCAGGGTCATGAGATTGAGCCCCACACTGGGTTTAGAAATTACTTAATAAATAAATATTTTTAAAAAATATATATCACTGTACACCTGTCAGAATAGCTAAAATCAAAACAAGAAAAAACAAGTGTTGGCAAGGATGTGATGAAGAAGGGACTCTAATGTACTGTTGGTGAGAATGTAAATTAGTACAGTCACTGTGGAAAACAGTATGGAGTTTCCTCCAAAAATTAAAAATAGAAATACCAGGGGCATCTGGGTGGCTCAGTCGGTTAAGCATCTGCCTTTGGCTCAGGTCATGATCCTGGAGTCACAGGGATCAAACCCCACATCCGGCTCCCTGCTCAGCATGCAGTCTGCTTCTCCCTCTCCCTCTGCCCACCCCCCACTCCCTCTCTCTCTCTCAAATAAATAAAATCTTTAAAAAAAAATAGAAATACCATATGACCCAGGAATTCCACTTCTGGGCATTTACCCAAAGAAAACAAAAACACTAGTTCAAAAAGATATATACATTCCTGTGTTTATTGCAGCATTATTTACAATAGCCAAGATATGGAAGCAAATCAACTATCTATCCGTAGACAAATTAATAAAGAAGATATGGCGTATATATATATATAGATAGATCGATAGATAGATAGATAGATACATACATACATACATACATAGATATATAGATACGTATAGATACACACACACACATACACACAGGAATATTACTCAGCCATAAGAAAGGATGAGATTTTTGTCATTTGTGACAACACAGATGGACCTAGAGGGTACTATGCTAAGTGAAATAAGTCAGACTGAGAAAGACAAATATCATATGATTTCATTTATATGTGGAATCTAAAAAAACAAAACAAATGAATAAACACAAAAAGCAGAATCAAACCTATAACTACAGAGAACAAACTAATGGTTGCCAGAGGGAAGAAGGATGGGAGGTTGGGCAAAACGGGAGAAGAGAAAAAAGAAAAAAAAATGGGAGAAGAGGAGCGGGAGATACAGGCTTCCAGACCTCATGGACTCAATAAGTCACCGGAATGAAAGGTACAGCACAGGGAATATAGTCAAGGGTATTGTAATAGTGTTGTACGGTGGCAAGTGGTGGCTACACTGTGATGAGCACAGCATAATGTATAGAGCTGGTGAATCACTATGTAGCACACCTGAAACTCAGGTAACATTGTGTCTCAGCTACATTCAAATGCATTAAAAAAATACAGAAGCCCTTTCCAGAGTCCCCAGTCACCAATTTGCTGGGTTTGTTTGGTTTTTTTTAAGATTTTATTTATTTGTCAGATTGAGAGAGAGAGAACACATGAGCAGGGGGAGCAGCAGGCAGAGGGAGAAGCAGGCTCCCTGCTAAGCAAGGAGCCTGACGCTGGACTCGATCCCAGGACCCCGGGATCATGACCTGAGCCGAAGGCAGACACCCAACCGACTGAGCCACCCAGGCATCCAATTTGCTGGTGTTTTTATTGAGAACCACGTATTATCACATTGTTTTTGCATGAACACACATTCATTCTACTGCTTAAACTTGTGTGTTAAAACCCCAGAGGTCCCAACTTGAAGGACATTAAGTGAATTAATCAGTGCATTCAAAGATGATTCCTTTCTGGCCCTGAGAGGTACAGAGCCAACGCTGGGAAGAGGATTTGAGCTCCTAGACCAGAGGCACTTCAGAGACCCTCTGCAGCTAAGAAAGGCCCAGCAAGGTGATGGTTCCCAGGACGAGAGAACTTACCGCATTTTAAAAGGAATATTCTTAAAACGTGATAGCTAGAGCACCAAGACTTTTATTTGCCCGCAAATAAGTGCACTTGCAGACAGGAAATCAGGATCTTTGCAAGAACCATGGCAGATGTAGACTCTGTCTTGTGTCTCTGGCCTGGCTTGGGAGCCAGGAGGGCAGCCCCTGCGCTACCAAGCAGCATGCCAAAGTTAATAATTGGCCCAGCCGAGTACATGGCAGATCAGGCTGTTTTTGTGTGCCTGTTTTTCTATTTTACGTAAATCACCCCGAACATGTTTGCATCAACCTACTGGTGATGCACCTTTGATCAATAGATTTTAGACAAAAGTGGTTTTTGAGTCCAAAGATCAGGGCTGGGTTGACCTGCAGACTGGATCCAGGGTGTATAAAAACAGGGGCAAGGCACAGGCTGAGAGCAGAGCAATCATCACCAAGTCTGTAAACACGGCAAGGGCTTAGCAGAAGGCTGCCTGAGGAGCCAGGGAGGAAGGATGGAGCAAGGAATGAATGCTCTTCATGACTTTGGGATCCAGTCAACGCACTACCTCCAGGTGACTTACCAGGACTCCCAGGACTGGTTCATCTTGGTGTCCGTGATCGCTGATCTCAGGAATGCCTTCTATGTACTCTTTCCCATCTGGTTCCATCTCCGTGAAGCTGTGGGCATCAAGCTCCTCTGGGTAGCTGTGATTGGAGACTGGCTCAACCTCGTCTTTAAGTGGTGAGTAAGAGCCAGACAGAGAGGAGATCGGCAAGGGAAGAGGCCAGCATTCTCCCCGGAAATGTCTGTGCATCAGAAGTTGCCTTCTCTGTGCTATTCGGGAAGCCACAGGTTACTGCCCTCCGACTTTGGATCGTCCACCTAAAGAGGGAAGACAGAGAAAACCCCATCAATAAGTTGAAGATACAGGCAAGGCTATTTCATGTGGATGGAAGGGCAGCTGGACTTAGTGAAAAGTCTGAAGTGTAGGTTATAAGCAAAGAAGCAGAGTTTTATTACTTTGAAGCAGAATAGGTAACATGAAGAGAGATGTATGAAAGATGATGTCTGAAAACAGGAAACAGGTTGCTAACTTAAAAATCCCATTGCATGAGGGCGCCTGGGTGGCTCAGTCGTTAAGCGTCTGCCTTTGGCTCAGGTCATGATCCCAGGGTCCTGGGATCGAGTCCCGCATCGGGCTCCCAGCTCCTTGGGAGCCTGCTTCTCCCTCTGCTTCTCTCTCTCTCCCTCTCTCTCTCCCTCTGTCTCTCATGAATAAATAAATAAAATATTTTTTAAAAAAATAATTAAAAAAAATTTTTAAAAATCCCATTGCGTGGAGAAATGAGAAGTAATCCAGAGAACTGGGCTCCAATCCTCGTTCGGCACCTACCAGCTGTATGTCCTGGGCAAGTCAAAGCAACTCTCTGAGTTTCTGTTTTATAATCTGCAAACTTAAGTTATCTCTGGGACCTTAATAATAATTCTAGTTAACATTTATTGAACATTTAGTAGGTACTAGGCCATGTGCCAAGTGCTTTGCTGTGGGGTGGTTACTATAATTAATATAACAGATGAAGAGACCGAGGCATTGAGATAAGCGACCACAACTAGATCAACATGGCAGTCAATGGCAGAGGCATCATTTAAGCCCAGGCAGGCTGATTTCAGAGTCAAAGTTCTTAAAAATTATGTTATATTCAATGCTGATGAACCAACTCTCTCGGGGGGCAGGAGGAAGCCCTAATGTTAGCGTTTATCAATTTCTCCTGTGTTTATATTCCCATTGGGGCCACTTTCGATCTATTGATGGGTCAAACTTGCCAAAATCCTGAATATTTTACAATTGTTAGCCAGTCCCAGTTGACTCTGGCACATTACTGGCTTGGCCTCTGTTTCCTCATCTAGAAAATAAAGAGCTTGGGCCAGCTAAGAACTTTACCGTCCCTAAACTATCTATGTCTACTGTCAAGTGATTCTGAAGACCTTTCTAGCTCTAATATTATTTGGCCATAAACAATAAACCATCTTTTAGTGTACAAAAAAAAATTGTTATGGGGTCGAGAGGCCCAAGGCATAGCCATATGGCTCTGAAATCTCTGTTGAATAATCTAAGTGTTATCTGTAATGTCCCCTATTCAACAGCATGACCTTAAAAAGTAAACAGATAAAGGGTTATTTTAAACATCTGATCTCAGTTGAAGAATCATGCATTTTCTCTGAGTTGGCAGAGGTCAGAGTTAGTGGCTGTCTCTGATTTCGGTGAAAAATCACTATTCCATCCCTCGAGGGGCTGACCCTTGACACCTGTTTCCACAACGAAAAACATACCGAGTACTTTTAAGGGGGAAGCGGTTTGTCTGAGCTATATCCTCTTCCAAGGCAGAAAGGATACAAAGTAAGCGCCGGAAGCTATCTATGTCCTTACAGAGAGTAATTCTTAGGGCAAGGAGGCCACATCTCCTGAGGGTGCTTGTCCCTGGGACTAGGGCACATTCTCTGATGTCAGAGGAAACCCAAGACTCCTTGAGATCTGAGGAAAGAGCATAGGGTCTGGCAGGATTTGCAAGTCCAAGCTGCAAACTATAGTTCTGTATGTGTCCTTCCAGGACAAATTCTTCCAGGGGTTTAGAAAAAGTCACATAGCTTCCATTAATAGGGATTTTTTAGGATCTTGAGTTTATTTCTGTTTGAATACATAATACATTCAAATAGTTCAAAATTCCAAAGTTATATAAAGGATGTATCAGAAAAAGTCTCCCTCCCCTACCGCTCTCCAGCCCCCCGGGTCCCCTTCTTGGGGGCAGCCAAAGCTAATAGTTCTCTGTTTAGGATCACATGAGTCTTCTCCTCACACTACTCTCTTTTCTCAAAGGTGTGGGCTTCAGGCAAAAGGGTTCTTTCGGTAACTCCAGACCCTTGTTCTGCTTTTTTTACAGGATTCTATTTGGACAGCGTCCATACTGGTGGGTCATGGACACCGATTACTACAGCAACACCTCCGCACCACTGATAAAGCAGTTTCCAGTCACCTGTGAGACTGGACCAGGTGAGAGTCCCAGCCCCAGTAGAGACAGAAGCTGGGTGGACCTTGCTCACTGTGGCCACCTGTCAGCCGTCACTGTAGACGAAGCTGTCTTTGAGGGGACATGAGGAGAACTGCTCCTTCAAGCTTTAGGCACAGTCTTCGATAGGGTACAACTCCAGTTTAATTATTTCAAGGAGGACTTCCTGAAGAACACATTACTGCTACTTTAGAAATCTGCCTAATACTTCCAGAACCTAAATTGCTAGTCCAGAGACGCAAAGGTACTCTTATGGGCAAAGGGCTCATGAGAGGAACTGCATTATGGCCCTTTGTCCAGGGAGGGAAAGCAAGAGAAGCCTAAGCCCCTGGCTGTCCTTCACCAAGGCTTGGCCAAGTAGCTGTATCTTCCTGAGCTGACTGTCCAATCCCACACCATGCTTGTGCTTTACTAGATACAACCAGACAGTTCTTGTGCAATCAGATGATAGATTAGATTTCCTTTTTCGGTAGGCAATGGAATATCCAACCTCTTCACTCACCCTTAAGTCTCGGTGCCAGCATCCCTTCCTCGGGGACCCTATCCCTGACTCCCAAACTAGGGCATGACCCTTAGTTATTTGTTCTCACAAACCCTTGGTTCACTTCAGAGCATATTCATTCATTCAGATGTTATTTATTGAGCACCTATGTTGTGCCAGACACTGTTCTAGGTACTCGGAGTACCTTAGTGAATAAAACAAATATCGCTGCCCTTGTGCAGCTGAAATTTGAACGATGTGTGTGTGTGTGTGTGCATGGGCACGCACAATATACAAAAGTATAATACATGAGTAAAAAATAGAAGATATTAGAAGATGATAATGAAGAGGAGGAAGAGGAAGAAGGATGGGAGGAGGAGGAAGGATGACGAGAAAAGGAGAGGCAAGGTTTTATTGATGGGACTCCCTGGAGCAGCCTCAGATGTAGAGTAGCGTGCAGGAGCCCATGCTCCCGTGTGTTGCATGCAGGAGCCCATGCTCCCGTGTGTTGCATGCAGGAGCAACACATGTGGAAGGAAGGAACAGAAACCACCTGGGCAGGAGGAGTCTAATTCGGATTCAGTCTTAGCTAACCCCACAGGGAGCTCTGAAGCTGAGGATGGCCCTTCAGAGTTGCCCGGATTTGTGTCAAGAGGATCAGGCCCTTATATCCCAATTTAGAGCAGTGATTGGGTGGAGGCTGCCCCTGGGGAGAGGTAACCCTGATCAAAATGGCTCTCTTCAGCTCGGGCAATGCCAGAAGAAGGCTGAGAGCTGAGGGCCATCCATGACCACATTCTCAACAACTAGGAAGATAAGTCCTTCAGTCTAGAAGGGAATCTGGGTGGCACATCTCAAGACCTTCTATCTCTCAGGGTAGAATGATCAGGAAGTATGGGTTGAAGTATTAAGTAGGGTGGTCAGGGTAGGACTCCCTGAGGAGAGATTTGAGCAAAAACTTGGAGGAGGCAAGGAAATTAGCAAGTAAATTTCTGGTAGAAGAGTTCTCTGGCCAGAAAGACCAATAGCACAAAGACCCTGAAGTAGGAGTATGTTTAAAGGAGAGCAATGAGGCCAACATGACTGGAACAGAGTGAGCAGCAAGGGACTAGAGGGAGGTGATGGAGGGCAGATTGATTTGCAGTTATACACCCAGTATGCTGATTCTTTGTGTAGCCTCTAGACTGTATATAACTACAAGAGCTGGGACCTTCTCTGGTTTTGCTTACCACTACTCCCAGAGCCTAGTACCATGCTGGGCATGTGGTAGGAGCCCAATAGATATTTGGGGTTTTTTTTTTTAAGATTTTGTTTATTTGTCAGAGAGAGAGAGAGAGTACAAGCAGGGGGAACAACAGGCAGAGGGAGAAGCAGGCTTCCCACTGAGTAAGGAGCCCAAAGCGAGACTAGATCCCAGGACCCTGGGATCATGACCTGAGCCGAAGGCAGATGCTTAACTGACTGAGTCACCCGGGCACCCCTAGATATTTGTTTAATAAATGACTAAATGGATAAGTGGATGGATGGCAGGATGGGTGGATGGATGGATGAAAGGATGGAAAGATGGGTGGTGGATGGACAGATAGTTGGATGGATAGATGGATGGAAAGGTGGATGGGTGTATGGATGGATGGATAGAGGACTTCCCATTACAATGTCCCAGATGGAGACTTTTCACCTTTAGTTCATCCATTCCTCTCTTCTCTACCCTTTAGGGAGTCCCTCTGGCCATGCCATGGGTACAGCGGGTGTATACTACGTGATGGTGACATCCACCCTCGCTATCTTTCGGGGAAAGAGAAAGCCAACCTACAGATTTCGGTAAGAACTCAGCACTGGGGTGCGGGCAGTGGAGGGCAGGAGGTGACTGTCTCTGTAATAGACACACCACTTGCTCTTCCTCACATTCCCCATAGCTGGCCCACCCCACCTTGGGTTGGTACTGAGCAGAGCTGTGGCATTTCTGCTGAGGGCAAACGGGAAGGGCACAAGATGTCAGGGCTGGAAGGGACCTACAAGCGCAACCCCTAACTTTACAGATAAGGAAACAAGGCCTAACAGGGTAAAGGGACTGCTCAAGATCAGACAGTGTAGTTCTGGCAGGGTTTAAATAAAAACCCATCTCTGTGCCAACCAAAGAGTTGCCTGGTCCAAGTTGAAAAACAAAGAAACGTAAGACCTTCCTACTACAGAGAATTCTGAGCATGCAGCCACTGGGCAAATGCTGAATTATCATACACATAAAATCAGGGAATTTAACATTCACGTGTGCAAGGGTTCAGTACATGACACGGGCATCTCTGAGCTTTGGGGTACAGGCTTCAATTTACAAAAATTCCACTGACTGCACCTAAGTTGGCCAGGCCCCGGCATTCCTGCCAGGCTGTTCTCCTTGCTGAAGTGTGCATATCTGGGTTCTCTTATGACGGCCTCTTCTGTTGCAGGTGCTTGAACATCATTTTGTGGTTGGGATTCTGGGCTGTGCAGCTGAACGTCTGTCTATCCCGAATCTACCTTGCTGCTCATTTTCCCCATCAGGTCATTGCCGGAGTCCTGTCAGGTATCAGCTGCTCTGGCTCTCTCCCTTCCTGCCCCTCCTATGCCATGTCTCCCTAAATGGGACACCATCCCAGCCAGCCAGTCATGTTCTGTGTGTAATCAATGCTGTTAGCACTTCAGTGGGCTACAAGTTAAGTGGGTGTGAAACTGTTCATTTCTATAGGAGGGCCCAGATCTACACAATTAAATATGTTTCAGAAAAGTTGCAATACTTCAAGTTAACTTACCAATTGAATTAGCTTGAAATTTCCTTACTTTTCACAATCTTTATTTTTTACTGGTCTTCAATTGGAAATGGCCCCTCATTAGTTGTTGTTGTTTTTAATATTTTATTTATTTATTTATTTATAGAAAGAGTTGGGGAAGGGCAGAGGGAGAGGGAGAAAGAACCTCAAATTGACTCCATGCTGAGCACGAAGCCAGACGTGGGACTCAATCCCCCTCATGATCCCTGAGATCATGACCTGAGCTGAAATCGAGTTGGATGCTTAACCGACTGAGCCACCCAGGAGCCCTGGCCCTTAGTTTAGTTTTAAGGGAATCTACCAAATTTAACAAATTAACAGTGTCCTAGAAAAGCTCTTTATTTGGGTAAATTAATTTTCAAACCCACAGTTGGTCTTTCTTATAGGTTCAGAGTTTTGAATACAGTTGATACTTGAACAATGCAAGGGTTAGGAGAATTGACCCCCCCGATGCACTCAAAAATCCACATATAACTTTGACTCTCCCAAAACTTAACTACTAACAGCCTACTGGAAACCTTACCAATAACATAAACAGTCGATCAACACACATTTTGTATGTTATATGTATTATATCCTGTATTCTTACAATAAAGCGAGAGAGAGAAAAGAAAATGTTCTTCAGAAAATCAGCAGGATTGGGGCACCTGCGTGGCTCAGTGAGTTAAGAGTCGGCCTTCGGCTCAGTCATGATCTCGGAGTCCTGGGATCAAGCCCCATGTGGGGCTTCCTGCTTAACGGGGAGTCTGCTTCTCCCTTGCCCCTCCCTCCTGCTCATGCTACCTCACACACACTCTCTCTCTCTCAAATTAATAAATAAAATCTTTTTTAAAAAAAGAAAATCAGCAGGAAGAGAAAATACATTTACAGGGCTCTGCTATATTTATCAAAAAAAATCTGCATATAAGTGGACCCACCTAGTTCAAACCCATGTTGTTCAAGGGTCAACTATACTTGTGTTTTCTTAGATCCCATTTATAAGGGGCAGAAAAGACTTAGGTTAAGTGTAAGAAAGACTTTCTTTACATTATGGGAGGTACTGGAATATAAGACCTTAGGGAAATTGTAGGATATTCCCCCTGGAGACAGGTGGAAGCAGAACACAGTAGCATTACAAGAAGAGCGTTGAGTACAGGGGGAGATAATGGTTTCATGACAACCACAAAAGTAACACAGCGTTTAGTACTGGGTGCCACGTTTGAGGAAGAGCCCAGAAGCCATGTTACATGAAAGACCTGAGAACGTATAGGTTAGAGATAAGAATAACGTCTTCAAATGTGCTCTATAAAGAGGTTCCAGATTTACAACTCAACTCCTACAGAAATAACTGAGACCAATAGATGGCATTGGGGGGGGTCACATTTCAGGTTAGCACAAGGAAGAATTTTTGATAATCAAAGCCATTCAAAGATGAAATGGGCTGCCCAAGTGGGAGTGAGCTCTCTACCCCTGTGGGTATTCAAGTAGAAACATGAGGCCCCCTGACAGTAAACATGCGTGCAGTGGGAGAATGTATGTGATAGGACTCTTCCATCTGAAAGAGTCTATGGCTGAGGACAGACTGGGGTCACACGTGGGAATAAACCAGGTGACGCTCTAACCTAGCATCTGTGATTTATTGCCACAAATGGCAGGATGGATGATATGTCACTCATTGCTCCAAACCCCGCCCCATAGCTGAAGGTCCAGAGTCTTCCCTATTTCTCACAGTCATTCTTTCTTTCACTCAGGCATTGCTGTTGCTGAAACTTTCCGTCACATCCAGAGCATCTACAATGCCAGCCTCAAGAAGTATTTTCTCATTACCTTCTTCCTGTTCGGTTTTGCCATTGGATTTTACCTGCTGCTCAAGGGGCTGGGTGTAGACCTCCTGTGGACACTAGAAAAAGCCAAGAGATGGTGTGAGCGGCCGGAATGGGTCCACATTGACACCACGCCTTTTGCCAGCCTCCTCAAGAACGTGGGGACCCTCTTTGGCCTGGGCTTGGCTCTCAACTCCAGCATGTATAGGGAGAGTTGCAAGGGCAAGCTCAACAAGTGGTTCCCATTCCGCCTCAGCTGCATTGTGGTCTCTCTCATCCTCCTGCACCTCTTTGACTCTTTGAAACCCCCATCCCAAGTTGAGCTGATCTTCTACGTCCTGTCCTTCTGCAAGAGTGCAGCCGTGCCCCTGGCATCTGTCAGCCTCATCCCCTACTGCCTTGCCCAGGTCCTGGGCCAGCCGCACAAGAAGTCTTTGTAAGGGATGTGGAGCCTTCAGTATTCAAAGTCGGTGACCGCGCCAACCACTGAGGGTGGCTAGGGTCTTCTGCTAGCCCATTTTGAGGCCAGAGGTGCTAGAGTCAGCTCAGCTGACCCCTTCCTCCTTTGCAATTCTAATTGTATTGGGTGGTTTGTTTTTTTTTTATTTAAACTAATAAGGCTAGTTGAGAAAGTCTTATCTGTTAGAAGTTGGGTCCTTCTGGATTTTTCCCTGAAGACTTAACTTGTTCTTCTTTGAGATATACAAAAACAAGACTTCCAGGTAGGGCCAGCTCACAATCCCAGGCTGGGGATCTCAACTGAGAATTTTCTACCTGTCCCCATCCTTACACAGAAAAGGGAAAGGAGCAGTGGATTTGATAGAGAAAGAAGGATGATGGATTAAGGCAGACTTTCGTATCCTCCTGCACATCATGCAAATTATGTTACACAATATCTAAATGGCTTTGATTGTATTTGAATCTTTAGGTAAGGGACTCTCAATAGTGAGGGACCAACTTAAAGTATAATTAATAGGTAGTTAGTGGGGTAATTCTGCTTCTTATATTTTTCTATTATATATCCATGGTCTTTGCATTTACTAGGATTTCTGAATGGCCGCAGTGACCTAGATTTGTACGGGGTCAGAGCATGCAGATATAGTCAACTTCTCCTCTATCACACTAGATCTTCCTCCTTGTTAGCCCAGCTAGGCTTTCCCTAGAATTTTTCACTGGCTCCACATCCTGCCAGATACAGAGATGCCTAAATGCAGCTCTGGGGGTAGTGCTTTTGTATGGTTTACACTCTGAAATCTTGGGCAAAAAGGCAAGGAGACAGCAAGGATTCCTTTCTCCAGAAGGTCACTCCAATGTTACTTTTGATTCCTAGAGGGTAAATATGACTCCTTTCTCTATCCCAAGCCAACCAAGAGCACATTCTTGGAGGAAAGCCAGCTCTCCCTTGCCTGTTCTTAAGTCTCAGCTGATTTGCAGATATGTCTTAAAAAAAATGTTTAAGCCTATTTATTTGAGAGTCCTTGTTTTTGCTACTAATTATATAGTTCACCATATATTACCATTCACACCAACCATCCTGGTCATAACATCTTTGAAAAGAAAAATATATATGTGCAGTATTTTATTAAAACAACATTTTATTTAAGAATTAAGTCTTGCTGATTACTGTATTTTAGATGCAATGCGATCTGAAGGTTCTAATTCTGGCTCAGCTAAATTTCTAGCTCTTTTCTATTTCCCTAAACAAATCATTTAGTCTCTGTGTACCTATATTTTCCCTTTGGAGAAAGAAAGTCTTGGGCTGGCCAGGAGTGCCAGTGGAGCCAGGGGACCTACAAAGTGTCCATAGTGCACAGATAGCCTTGAGGGTATCAACACAGACACGGTATCATTGGCCAAGACTGAACATTAGTTACCAGACCACAGGTCAGCATGAGTTGCTCTAAGGGATCAAACTGCAACTTAAAGGCAAATACACAGGGTCATTACCAAACTAAGCAATCAGAGAATGTAAGTCATAGCAGTGGAAAAAGACTGGGTAGACTCTGGAATCCAGGAAGCCAGCATCAGCAAGGTTTGGGGTTATGGTTAAAGAAAATCTAAACAGGGGCGCCTGGGTGGCTCAGATGTTTAAGCATCTGCCTTCGGCTCAGGTCATGATCCCAGAGTCCTGGGATCGAGTCCCACATCGGACTCCCTGCTCCTTGGGAGCCTGCCTCTCCCTCTGTCTCTCTCTCTCTCTCTCTGTCTCTCATGAATAAATAAATAAAATCTTAAAAAATAAAAAAGAAAGTCTAAACAGAGCAAGTCATAGCAGCAAGGAACGCTCAAGGGAGTTATCGAAGTTTTCTCTCCAAATGATCCATTTCAACCTGAGTGTAGGGCACCCCCTCCAAAGGCATAATCCTGGATCTACTGAGGATGACATCTGCTCACTCACTTCAGAACTCTGCATGTGTATCTTCAGGAAAGTTGAGTCCTCTTACTGGATTTGGTTTCTTCAGAGGGCATGAGGCTCCTCAGAGATGCTACTGATCTTCCCAAGGAAGAAGGGAAATGGTCTTGCTCTGTCTAAACCAAGCCCCATTGCTCAGGCCTGACCCCCATCCTTGATGATTTATTTGTTCTCAGGGACCAGGTCCAGGTTCCTTGCAAGAGGATTCTGGCAGAAAGTGAATAGTGCCCCTGCCCCTGGCAGTTGGTGAGGTTGATAGGGAGACATGATAGATAAAATTTACTGAGTATTGCTTCTCTGCCAGGCTCTGTTCTATGCATTTTATTTATTCATACAATTAATTCACTTAATCCTCCCAACATCTCTGTGAAGTGGGGGCTATAATTTATCTGCACATTACATATGAATAAGAACAGAGGGTTCCTTTTTTTTATGTTATGTTAATCACCATACATTACATCATTAGTTTTTGATGTAGTGTTCCATGATTGATTGTTTGCATATAACACCCAGTGCTCCATGCAGAACGTGCCCTCTTTAATACCCATCAGCAGGCTGACCCATCCCCCCACCCCCCTCCCCTCTAGAACCCTCAGTTTTTTTTTTTCAGAGTCTATAGTCTCTCGGGAGAACAGAGGGTTCTTATAGGTAGAGGGTTCTTATAGGTTCTTACAGGTATCTTGCCCAGAATGGTGAAGCCAGTTTAAGAACCAAGCAGCCTGATTCCAGAGTCCACACTCCACCCTGTAGTCCCGTCACAGGGATGGATGCAGGTAGACTGGTGGCTCTTTCTGGCTGGTTCAGTCGATGGAGCCTGCAACTCTTGATCTCACCGTCCTGAGTTCAAGCCCCACACTGGGTGTGGAGCCTACTAAATTAATAAATTATTGAAAGAAAGATAAAAAGACCAGCAACTGTTTCAAACCTTCCTTCAGATGCCAGATACAACTTTGAATTCAGCCTAGAGAGAATTTGTTTTCTTGTGGTCAAAAGAATTATAAAACTTTAAGTGATCTTCCCAGTGAGCTAGTCTTAGTTTCCAAGTATGAAGATACCATATTTCAAAAGCAATTTTACAACATAACTCTTAGAACAAGCATAACCATATTAGTTTAACTTTAGCTCTTTCTTTTCTTTCTTTCAAAAAAAGAGTTTAAGAGTCATGCTCAGACTATTTAGGTCAGACAGGAAGTAACTGACTATTTCTACAATGGAGATAAAACGAGAAGACAGAATTACCACAAAGAACTTTTGGTACAGATCCATGTACAGGTGTAGAAAATGAAGAGACTGTGAAAATTGCTTAGGTCAGAGAATCCACAAAGACAAGATTGCTACCTTTCCGTAGGATGGCCACCTGTCTCCTCGAGAAACAGACAGTGCTAAAGGCTTAGAATTTGTGATTGGAAAGGCTGAGCAGAAAGAGCATCAGCCCAAGATCAACTCCTAATAGATGGTAGCCAGTGTGTTAGCATATTCTGATCACTGACCCGCTGCCCAAGTTATAGAGGTGTGCTTGCTTTAGAAATGACTGGTGAGTCCTCAGGATGGAAGTAAACATAAGTGACAGATGACAGTTTTAAACCAAGATCCATGTCATGTCATGGAATAATTTGATAGATTGTTCTAGCAGTCTATCAGTTTTGAGGAAGTACACTTGGGGATGATACACACACACATACACGCATTATACAATTATATTATTGCCCTAGGAAAACAGATCCGTTAAGAAAGTACAGCTTTGGGACACCTGGGTGGCTCAGTCGGTTAAGCGTCTGCTTTCGGCTCAGGTCATGATCCCAGGGTCCTGGGATCGAGCCCCGCATCAGACTCCCTGCTCAGCGGAGAGCCTGCTTCTCCCTCTCCCTCTGCCTGCCACTCCACCTGCTTATGGTCCCTCTCTTTCTCTCTCTGTCAAATAAATAAATAAAATCTTTAAAAAATAAAAAATAAAGACGTCAATTCCATTTTTATCCCCACCTCCCCCCTGCCCTAGGCCACCACTGAGCTACTTCCGGTTTCATAGATTTGCCTGTTGTAGACATTTCATACCAATGGAATCACGCAATATGTGACTCTTTGTGTCTGCTTCTTTCCCTTAGCATGATGTTTTCAAGGTTCATCAGTGTCATAATAACATGTATTAGTACTACATTTCTTTTTTTGGCCAAATAATATTCCACTGTACAGATATACTAAATTTTGTTTATGATATTTGGGTTGCTTCCACGTTTTGGCTATTATGAATAATACTGCTGTGAACACTTGTGTACAAATTTTTGTGTGGATGCATGATTTCATTTCTCTTAGGTATGTATATAGGAGTGGAATTGCTGGATCATATGGTAATGCTGTGTTTAACCCTTCAAGGAAGTGCCAGACTGTTTTCCCAAAGGTTTAGCAAGGAAAAGTTTTACAGTGTTTTTCGTTCTGCCATCTCTTTTGATTTTCTAGAAGCATGCCCTGTCTGATAGCTTTGTCTAATTCCTTACTTTGGAAGAGTTTAACAGCAGGATTGATGAAGGGTTCGGATTTCACATGATGAAATGTCAGTGAGCTCCTGCTACTTTAATAAAGCAATGGCTTTATTCCATTGTTCCAACGTGCATTCCAAGAGCCTTTCATTGAAGACATGTCTGGATATTTGAAGTTCCAGCCCTAATCAATTGACTGGTTGTAACCCGTCAAAATTTGCTGACCTGTTTTCTGAACACCATTCCTTTAGCTCCTGAATTATTAATATTTATTGATTTCATTCCATAGTAACTGCCAAACTAGGACAGTTGCCTTTAAGGCTGGTATGTGTAAATAAAATAGGACAATATCATTTGTATCCAAGGGTTTTTCAAGAGCCTCTTGAGAACAGAAAACATGCTGGCCAAATAGCCTTCAGATGATGTTGTTAAGGAAAGAATTGGTTAGAAATGGTATGAAGAAACAGCCGGCAAAAGTCACCTCCATTAGAGAACCAAGAACTTAATTAATCTGGAAGAGAAACTAGCATTTGTCTAGTCCAGTGATGGGCGACCCAAAACCCAAAATCTAACTTCAGAGTGAAAGATTAAAAAGCTGCCTCGGGAACAAACGAAAAAAGCAGAAACCCATAAATACAGAGAACAAACTGGTGGTTGGCAGGGGCGGGTGGAGGGATGGGTAAAATGAATGAAGGGGAGTAAGAAGCAGGCTTCCAGTTATGGACTCAATAAGTCACCAGGATGAAAGGTACAGCACAGGGAATATAGTCAAGGGTATTGTAATAGTGTTGTACCGTGGCAGGTGGTGGCTACACTGTGATGAGCACAGCATAATGTATAGAGCTGGTGAATCACTATGTTGCACACCTGAAACTCATGTAACATTGTGTCTCAGCTACACTGCAATAAAAAGCAGTAACAAAGTAAATAAAAATAAAAAGCTGCCTCTAGGTTGCTGCTTCTTCATAAAAAAGAAAAAAGTCTATAAATATTTTTACTTTTCCTGAACTGGCCTTTATTTAAAAAAAAAAAAAAGAAAAAGCTGCTCACTCTTAATCCTATTCAAAAATTTATTTCATAGATACAGAAAGTAAGGCCTAGGGAGGGAAAACAGCACATCTAAGCTCTATAAGTAACCTGTCCTCAGGTCTCCTGATTCTTAGCAGAGAGCAGTCTCCCCTTTGCCAGTCTCCTGTGCGTCAACATGCAGCTGTTGAAGCAGAAGTGAACAGCAGAGTGTATTTGAACCAGAACCAGGCTTGTTAACCCCATGAGAGCCGCAGCTACAATAAACATGCTCAAGGGTTTTTTTAAAAGATTTTATTTATTTATTTGAGAGAGAGTGAGCAGGAGAGAGAGAGAGAATGAGCAGAGGTTGGGGCAGAGGGAGAGGGAGAAGCAGACTCCCCGCCAAGCAGGGAGCCCCACATTCAATCCCAGGACCCTGGAATCATGACCTGAGCTGAAGGTAGACCTTTAACCAAATAAGCCCCCCGGTACCCCTTAAAGATTTTTTATTTATTTATTTGAGAGAAAATGTACAAGCAGGGGGGCAGGACAGAGAAGGAGGAAGAAACAGACTCCCTGCTGAGCAGGGACCTCTCCCCCACGCTGATCTCGATCCCAGGACCCCAAGATCATGACCTGAGCCGAAGGCAGACACTTAAAAACTGAGCCCCCTAGGCGCCCCTCAAGGTGGCCTGTTCTTAATTATGTTATGCGCTCCTCTCCGCCTTTGCTCTCAAAAATCTTTCCAGGGCAGAAGTGTAACTAAAACAAGAAGCAATTTGGTGTTTTTATGGAGTTTTAGGTTTTTTGTGGGGGTTTTTTGGGGGGGGGAGTTGTTGCTGTTGTTTTTTAAGCAGGAGGGTGGTTTTCCAGGAAGCACATTTTCAATACTTTTCTTTCTTCTCACTCTCATTTTCTGCTTTTCACAGTTCACAGTCATTTCCTTCAGATCAGCTAATTCAACTCCAAGTCTGAAAGCTGCTAGGACTCCTCTCATTCCGCTCCAGCTCGGACCTGGGAATTCTAGTGCTGTGTCAGCTGTTACTTTCTACCCAGAGGCAAAAGGAAGAAAACCGAGTTCCTTCTCCACGGTAAACTGTTTGGACTCCTTGACCAGGGCATGGTGCCAGAATCCCATCTTTTCTCCTCTGTCTTCCCCACTAACCTCCTCCTTCAACAGGGTGACCTCAGCCTGTCAGCAACGCCACCCCTGACCCGTGCTTGATCCTCCCTCCTGAAGAACGCAAGTGAGCCTTTTTTTTTTTTTTAAGATTTTATTTATTTATTTGACAGAGAGAGAGACAGCGAGAGAGAGAACACAAGCAGGGGGAGTGGGAGAGGGAGAAGCAGGCTTCCCGCGGAGCAGGGAGTCCAATGCGGGGCTCGATCCCAGGACCCTGGGATCATGACCTGAGCTGAAGGCAGACGCTTAACGACTGAGCCACCCAGGCGCCCCCTCAAATGACCCTTTTGAGAGAGGTAATTTAGTGGAATTGATTTGACAGCCCCAGTGGCATAAATCAATTTTCTTTATTTTGGTTATGTCTTTAGACGGCCAGGGCCCTCCTTATGGGTCCCTTTCCCACCCCCTCCCCACCCCTCCCATACAATGACTGCAAGGGAATGACAATGGCAGCATCTCTCCCTACAAACTGCAGTGAAACCACCAAGGACAACCTGCACCAAACGTCCAAAGGGTTCCTTTGTTTCGGGAGCTTTGGGTGAGGCTCCCTCGCTCCTGACACGTATCAGAGTTTCTTCAGAAAAAGCTGATGCAAACAGCCCATCTTTGATCTGGCTCTCCAAGCACTGCCAGGAGGCTCACGAGGCACGGTGGCCACCAAACTGTTATCTCTAGAACTATGCCCTCTCTCCTTTTCTACAGGGTATGCTTCTAAGAACTTCCACGGGGCAAATGACCCCACACACAGTAACTGTCAGACTGGTGAGTTAATTCCTCAAATTAGGGGATGGCTGAACTCAACCTATGTTAAGAAAGAGAAAAGACCTGGAGAGTCTTTTCTGCCCACTTTGGACTCTTTCATCTGATTTTCAGTTAGGTACAAGATGCCTGTAAGACTCCATTCCTGAGGAAAAAGAATCGGGGAAATAATTTGATGAAGGATAGGAAAGTGCTGGAGAAGGGGCGCCTGGGTGGCTCAGTCGTTGAGCGTCTGCCTTCCGCTCGGGTTGTGATCCCGGGGTCCTGGGATCGGGCCCCGCGTGCGTCGGGCTCCCTGCTCAGCAGGGAGTCTGCTTCTCCCTCTCCCACTCCCCCTGCTTGTGTTCCCTCTCTCACTGTGTCTCTCTCTGCCAAATAAATAAATAAAATCTTAAAAAAAAGTTTGTAGATACACATACATTTCCTACTTCTTTTAAAAAAAAAAAGGAAAGTGCTGGAGAAGAGTTCAATGAGGCGAAGAGTCGCCTTCAATTTTTATTTGGGGCTGAACCTCCTGGGAAGCGAGGGGCAGAGAAGATGAAGTTGGAATGTTTCATTGTCTTCATCGAGAGAGGATAATCTCATGCTATTACCCCAATACCATTATTTCCACACAAAATATCTAATAAACCAATGGTTCTCAACTGGGAGTGATTTTGCCTCCCAGATGACGCTTGGCCATGTCTGGAGACATTTTTTGGTTGTCATTAACTGGAGATGTTGCTAGTGGTATCTAGTAGGTAGAGCCCAGGCAGGCGGCTAATCATCCTACAAGGCACAGCGTGCACCCCCCAGCAAAGAATTATCCTCCCCCAAATGTTCATAGTGTCAGGACTGAGAATCCCCTTTAACAAACCCCAGAAAAAGGAGAATCAATCAGTTTGCCTGAAAGACTTTTCTCCAGTGAATGTTTTTCAACCCAGCACCAGAGCACTGCTTTGCAAATGGGTCCTTCTGGTGTGCCCAGCAGCCCCTCCTCCAGTCCTGTCTCAAGTGGGAGATTTATGGTGCTAAATTCTAACATCTTTCCCTCCAACAAAGTCGACTTGTTAAAGTAACTGGAGTCTTTGCATCTGGGTGCCTATAAGTAAAATCAATCTTACCTCCAGGCTTTTCGTAGAGACCCTGAAGCTGAACCAGTTGTGGGTATCCACAAATGTGGCCATCATTAAATACAAGATAAAGGTATAGATGGGTTGAGAGTTTCAGCTAAAGAGTTAGGGTGAGGGGAGCGGGGCCTGACCAGCAGCCACGAAGTATGAGTTTGGTAGACAAATTGTGCTCCCCTGGAAAGGCTCTGGATGTATTTAACATTGTTGTTAAATCACCAGGGAGAAGAATGAGTGAAACAAAACACATTCTTAGATGGACAAACAAAGAATGTAGTTAAAACACACTGCATAACCCTGGGCTTAATTTCTCCGAGCTTGGGCTTGGTTTATTTAAAGAAAGCAAAGAGATACTTCTTTGATATCTCATTGCTACAAAACTCAGCGTCCATTACTATCGGTACAAACTCTTGTTTTAATTTTTGTTAATTGCTAATGAAAAAAAATTCTAATTGGATTGTGTCTCCTGCCCAAATTAAGGTTGGGAAAGGAAAAATATCAATCCCAGGACAATAGCCTTCTGATGGTGATGTTAAGAATCCACTAGAAGGGGTGCCTGGATGGCTCAGTTGGTTAAGCATCTGGCTCTTGGTTTCAGCTCAGGTCATGATCTCAGAGCTCTGGGACGGAGCCCGGGTCGGGCTCTGCACTGGGCACAAGGTCTGCTTGTCCCATTCCCTCCCCTCTGCCCCTCCCCCGGCACCTCTCTCTTTAAAATAAATAAAATCTTAAAAAAAAAAAGGACTCCACTAGAAAAATTGATTTTAAATGTTATGTAAACTTTAATAATAGTCCATTCCAGTGAACACATTTCCCTGCTTTATAGTTGTTAAATATTAACTCCTACCCAAGATAAATTATTTAAAAAAAATAAAATAGGGCGCCTGGGTGGCTCAGTTGTTAAGCGTCTGCCTTCGGCTCAGGTTATGATCCCGGGGTCCTGGAATCGAGTCCCGCATCAGGCTCCCTGCTCAGCGGGAAGCCTGCTTCTCCCTCTCCCACTCCCCCTGCTTGTGTTCCTGCTCTTTCTATCTCTCTCTCTCTGTCAAATAAATAAATAAAATATTAAAAAAATAATAATAAAAATAAAAAAATAAAATAACTCTGAACTTGCCACAAATACTTATCCATCTCCTTCCTGCTTTGTACAGCTCCTTGATTTAATGTCCTCTTAGCTTTTTTTTTAAGATTTTATTTATTTATTTGAGAGAGAGAGCAGGGAGAGAGGCAGGAGGGACAAGCAGACTGCACTGAGTGCAGAGCCTGTCAAGGGGCTTGATCCCAGGACCCTGAGATCAGGACCTGAACGGAAATCTGAGGCTTCACCGAATGAGCCACCCACGCGCCCCTCCCCTTAGCCTCTTGATATGACTGTCCCGTTTCCTATTCTGAACTCTTCCCAGTTTTTAAAAAAAGAAGTACCAGTCTGCTATAGACCTGACTCTGTAATAATAACCGAAGAATTAGTGTTACTTTTTGTAAATGTTCCTTTGGCAGCTCCAATTTATTCTGGCTTCTGAAATCCAATTTCCTCCTCTCTCCCCATGAAAAAAATAGGTCCCTGCCACTCGGCTGCTTATTGGTGAGCCCTCAGCAAGGTCTGAGGACTGATCTGCCAGGGGACAACAGACGGATTCCAAACAGGTTTTCGTATCCAGCACGTTTCTTTCATACCCGCAGCCCTCCAGTCCTTCCCAGGCATCTCTAGATTGTAGAGCAAAGAGTTTGGATGCCAGAGTTCACGTTTTCCCATGCCTTGGCACATACCTATGAAGACTTCCTGCTGCAAAACAAAATTGCTTGATTTATAACTGTCTCCTTTACATGCTCAAATAACTGTTTCAGACTCAAAACGGTCAGACCCCAGAATGTCCTGCAACAGATATTGTAATTCACATGCAACCTTACAGAAGTTATCAGACTCAGCTCTAAACTACATTTTTCCTTCCTTAAAACTCACTTCCAGACTTTTTTGTGCAACAGAGCATTTTGCAGAGTTGTAAACTTTCCATGTGGTGTTCCTTGTCACAAAATACTTAAGTCCACACATTCCCTAGAGCCAGCAAAGGCTGCATTCCTGTTTTTAAAATTGGTCACTGGTGTTTCCTTATGTCACTATACCATAGTTTGCTGAGCCATTTCCTTATTTGGCTTTTGGATTATTTGGATTATAAATAGCAACACATGAATATCTTTGTACAAATTACATTTTTTCCCTTTTGGGTTATTTCCTTGGGGTATATTCCCAAGACTGGTATTACTGGGTCAAAGGTTTGAAAAGTTTCATAGCTCTGTTACCCACTGCCAGAATGTTCTTGAGACAGACTGTGGTATATTTGAGCACTTGAAATGTTTAACCGGGTTTCCCACGATATACAATAAGAGTAACTTGCATTTAACTTCTCATAGTCTTCAGTGAGGGAGTGAATTACAAAATTTCAAAACAAAACAAAAGCGAAGACAGTAGCACTCTTGTTGTAGCCAGAGACGAGCTCTCTTAGGCTAACTTGGTAAAATGTCCACCACGGGGGCTGGGTAAAATATCTGTGTTCCAGGCAGAACAGAAAACAACACCCAAGCTTCTGTGAAGTATCGCCAGCTCATAGCTGCAGCTGAGTAGTTTCAGGGAGAATTTAAAGCCGGCACTTGGTGAGCAGGGTGGGGAGAGAGGTAGAAAATAAAAAGAAGGGGTGCCTAGGTGGCTCAATTTGTTAAGCATCTGACTCTTGATTTTGGCTCAGGTCATGATCTCAGGGTCTTGAGATCGAGCCCTGCATTGGGCTCCGTGCTCAGTGTAAAGCCTGCTTAGGTTCTTTCCCTCTTCTTCTGCCCCCAACTCATGCTCACTCTCTCGCTCTTTCTCAAAAAAGAAAAGAAAAAGAAGGGACGTGCTCTGTTTTCATTGCTGCCTCTTTGGTGATGGCAGCAACACAGAGAGAAATAAGCCGGTTCTGATTCAAATTATTTACCTCCTGAAAGTGACTTCTAAGAACTGTGATGCCTGAGGACCTTGGTATCCTCAGTTTAAGAATCAAAACCAAACCAAAACAAAAATAACCCACTGAGTCATCCTTGCCATCTGGTTCCTCAGGCTAATAATAGTGATGATGATGGTGACAATGAACATGCACCAAGTACTATGTGCCTGTCACTTTTCAAAGGGCTTTACCCACATCAGCCATTTCATCCCCTCAACTTCCATAATTGTGCCCACTTTGCAGACGAGAAAACAGAATCGGAAACCTGAGAAGCTTCCCCGAAGTCACAGAGCTAGTAAATGTCGGAGCCAGGCGCAAACCCAGACAATTGACCACCATGCCTTGTGCTCTGACCACTGTACCGTACTGCCTCGGGTGCAGCAAGAGAAAAGGGATGGTTCGATGAAGCACTAGAATATCCAATTGTGGGCTCTCTCAAACACTACTAAATAGTTCTTTTTTTAAAAAAATATTTTAGGGGCGCCTGGGTGGCTCAGGTGTTTAAGCATCTGCCTTCGGCTCAGGTCATGATCCCAGAGTCCTGGAATCGAGCCCCGCATCGGGCTCCCTGCTCAGCGGGAAGCCTGCTTCTCCCTCTGTGTGCCGCTCCCCCTGCTTGTGCTCTCTCTGACAAATAAATAAAAGATTTTATTTATTTATTTGACAGAGAGAGACACAGCGAGAGGGGAACACAAGGGGGACACCCAGGTGTCCCCTTCTTAATTGTTCTAAGCATGTGTTACCTTTTTCCTTACTCTGTATTTTGAAAAAATTTTCAAATAAAAAAGGAAGTGCAATGAACATCTGAATCATCAACTATTCACATTTTGCGATATCTGCCTTATGTCTCTCACTATATATATATGTACATATTCTTATTTTAGATCAGTCATTTAAGGATAATTTGTAATCATGACTCCTTTAATGCTATATGCTTGATGTGTTTCCTACGAACACATTTTCTTACATAACAGTAACGTGTTATTTTTTTAATCCCAAAGGACCTCAGTTTAAGAAAAACAAATAACTAGGGCACCTGGGTGGCTCAGTTGGTTGAGCGACTGCCTTCAGCTCAGGTCATGATCCTGGAGTCCCGGGATCGAGTCCCGCGTCAGACTCCCTGCTCAGCAGGGAGTCTGCTTCTCCCTCTGACCCTCCCCCCCTCATGTGCTCTCTC